AGCCTCACACGCATCAGCGTCCCCGCACTGAAAAATGGCAGTGGACATGCCAACTAAAGCTCACTGAACGAGTTTTGGTTAAAGCGCCCCCACCGCCATTTTTCAGTGTGGGGACGCTAATACACATGACGCTGAAATTTGTTATCATGCTCCACCAGGCTTGATTAAAGTAATTACAAAGCATCAGAGCTTTGTATATGTGCCCTATGATTCCACAAGTAGCAGGATGTTGGTAAGGCAATGGATGATACTAGGCTGGCTGACTGTAAGTGTTGAAGTTAGAGTACAGAGGAACAGAATTATAGCACTCTTCACTTGACCTCTAAGACCTTTACAGAAGGGGCCATCATTAAGATAAGCATTGATTTACTGCAGAACAATGCTCCAAGGATATGAAACTAAAAATCTGAACTGTTAATTTTGACAGATTTCAGTAGAACCTTGCTAATCAGGAACAGGAGACAAGAATTTCTCAAATCACTCCCATGTACGTAAGTACATGCTTAACTTAATATCTGTTAATATATCCTCTGAGCAGTCCTCCAGTAAAAGGCCTAAATCAAGCACACACATAAGTCATTGTAGAACTGTTTTAGGACTTGGTCTTCCTTTCCATGACACTTAATAAGCATAATCCAGCCCGCTATAAGTGTTCATAAAGTAAATAAAGAAATTCACCAAAATGCACTCCAATTACTTTGGAAAGTGTCAGTTTAAGTTTTAGTATCTCAAAAAAGGAGCAAATTACAAGTCACAGTTTTAAACATATTCAAGAAGTGGACTATGCTAGGTTTTTTGTTGACACTGCACAGATGCAGGAATGTAACTAATAGAAACAAATTTGCCATGAAAATAAAACACTCAGGAATTTTTTTTAGAATGCTGGTATCTAATCAGACCTTTGTAAAATGAAAACGGTTGTTTTAAAACCAGTTTCATTACTTGTATCTGCTGAGGGTTAGAGACCGAAAGAGGGAGGGAGAAATGATTTCTCTTCATGGTCCTATAAACTGATGCACTTCAAGAGGGCAAGCTTAAGTAATTTGATCTTCAGCAGTTAGCAGCCCATTTCATAATATTCTTCAGATAGCACTGGGAGACTTTTCCATAAATGTTTTATCACTGAGTCTTTACGTATTAAGGGGAAAAAGAATCTTAAATTCTTCTTGAAAAGTGTTTCCCAGAACAGTGAAATTACTGGTGGAAATTCTCTCTCAAAATGATCAGTGTAGATACTCTCCAGCCACTGTTCTACATTATTTTTATAATGTTTAATGATTTCATTATTGTTAAACTGATTGATTCAGTGAAAAAAGTTCATAACAGTAAGGTTATAATATTAACATGTATACACTAGATTTCACTCTCAATGCACGTTGGGCTGGTCTAATAAAAGGTATCAGATTTACCCAAAGAACTTTGTCTGCCTATGTACCAAATTATTATTATTATGTACCAAATTATGGAGAATACTATGTATTCTCCATGCATAGACATGAGAAGCGCACCTTAAATATTTAAAACGGAATACCACAAATGAAACGCTAAAAACTTTTATATTCTTCCTTCAGAGCACAAATACAGCAAAGACTTTATGACTTTCTAAAAAAGACATTAAGCCACTCAAATCAATCAAAATTGCCCAACAAGACTTCCCTAAGTAGCTTGTGTTTAGCACTTCAAAACACTTGTAGACAGAGGGGTCAAATGACTGTCTTTCAGAATTTAAACAATAATGCCTAACCATACATGGCCATTGAAGAGGAAACTGCTCAGGAGGAAAGGGCCCAATGGGAAACATGCCCTTTCCTAATCTTAATCCTGAATCAGTTTGTTAATAGAGCCAGAGATAACTGGGTTTTGCATACTGACAAGCCAGAAGACAGCTATAGCCAAAAAAGAACTGCATACTAAATTCTGAGTGAACATGACCAAGTTTCTCATAAGCGATTACTCTAATCCTCAGCACAAAGCTGAAGAGTTATGTGCCCATGAGGAATCCCTAATCACCCACACTGAAGTCATAGCAA